AGCCTCCCAAGCAGCTGGGACTACAGACACATGCCACTATTCCTAACTAACATTTTGATTTTTGTATTTTGTATAGAGACTAGGTCTTGCTATGTTGCCCAGGCTGGTCTCAGACTCCTGGGCTCAAGCAATTCTCCCATCTCGGCCTTCCAAAGTGTTGGGATTAGAAACATGAGCCACATAAAACAAAAATAAATGAAAAGAAAAAAAAGAAAGAAACATGAGCCACAACACCCAGGCAACTAAGCAAAGGATTAGTGCATCTGATTGCCATGAAAAACTAGGAATCAGAGCTACCAGGTCAATCAACAGCCTACTCACTGTTTTTCTCTTGAAAACAGGAGAACTATGAACAATTAAAATAAATATCTGTAGGGCTGTTTATTTCAATTCTGAATGGTCTCTGCAGTTCTTCTAACCCACTCCCAGAGTCTCATATGTCTAACAAAATTTTATTTTTAAACACCTGCTGATCCTCGTGGATTATGCGTGTCCTGGCCCTTTCTGAATCATAGCTCCCAGGGCTAGGGAGATGGAAACCGGAAGTTTCATCCATGGAAAATGGAACTGAATGCATTCCCACAGACAGCAGAGGAACACAGCAGGCAGGAGTCACCAGGCTGCCTAGAAGCCATGCAGAGTGTTGGGGAACTCAGCCCAGTATTATCAGAACTTTTGCTATTTTTAAGAATTTTGATCCTTGTCACAAAAATCCCTATTTTTAAAAATACAGACAACTATTAGCAAAAACATGAGCCCAGCCTAAGGACCCATCAACAGTGAACTGGATAAAGAAAATGAGATACGTATATACACCACGGATAACTACACAGTCATGAAAAAAAATCAAAATTATGTCCTTTGCAGTAACATGGATGCAGCTGGAGGCCATCATCCTAAGTGAACTGACTCAGAAACAGGAAGCTGAACACGGCAGGTTCTCACTCATACGTGGGAGCTCAACACTGGGCACACACAGGCACAAAGATGGGAACAAGACACTGGGAATCCTAAAGGGGGGAGAGGAAGGGGCAGAGAAGGGGTGAAAAACCACCCACTAGGTACCACACTCTCCACCTGGATGACAGGCTCACAGAAGCCCAGACACCCCCTCTCACAGTGGACCTACACAACGAACCTGCACACAGACCCCTTGAATCTAAAATAAAGTAGTTAAAATACATACACAGGCAACTACATATTTTAACTGTGAGACACCCACAGATCTACAACCACACTTCAAGCCACAGGTCACAAGTACGCCAGTCCACGAGAGAAGAAACCAGGAAGGACTAAGACGCCCAGCGCCTCGGAGAGGTTAGGACAAAGGCCGGAATGAAGCTAAAGGGACAGGCTCTCTGGCCAGTCAGTAGCAGGCCAGAAAGAGGATGACATGGAGGCAAAAGCAACTCCATCCCGGGTGCTCACCCACCATGCTGACTTCTGATCAGCTACATCCCGTGGACACCTCCTGGCTTTTCCTCTGATTACTGTTCCTAGAGTAAGAAAATGTGCTCCTGCGTATGGATCAAATGGAGCCGGAGACAGTCATACTAAGTGAACTGACTCAGAAACAGAAAATCACACATTGCAGGTTCTCACTCATATACAGGAGCTAAACAGTCACAAAGATGGAAAAAAATAGACAGGGACTACCAATAAGGGGGGCAGTGGGTAGGGGGATTAGGTTCAGTAATCACCTATAGGGCACAATGTTTACTACCTAGGAATGGGCCGCCTCTCATCCAATCCCCACCACGACACGACATGTCCATGTAATGAGCATGCATGTGCACCCCCAAATCCAAAATAAAGATGGAAAAAATATGCAATCTGGATGTTATCCTGCAAATGACAGGCTATGATGCACGGAATACTCCCACCTGTTCCAGAGGCTCCCCTGTCTCACATAAAGAGCAAAGATTTGTCACTGCAATTAAACCTTGGGCCTGGGAGCAGTCATGAAGAGGTCCACCTGTTCTCTCATAAGTTCCTTCAATAAGTCACCCCAGACCGACACCCTGATCTGCCTGGCTCCACCCTTGGTTTCTCGGATTCTTCTGCATTTGGAGATCACTGTGCATACTTGGCCCTTCTAGGAACAGATGGGTCCTGATGGCCCATGCCAGCAGCTGGGGTCTCACATGCTGGGCCAGCCTCCTTATCCTATCCTTCCTGGTTCCTGTGGTGACTGAGGCTGCCCTAAGGCAGGATGCCGGGGCTCTAAAGTAAGGGGGTCCCACTGCTCTCCCAATTCTGCTTAAGCAAAAGCAATGGAAGAATGTTCAACTTTGTACATGAAACAACCGTCTTCAAAGCGAGTTAGCGATGGCCATGTGTTTCAATGGCATTGGTCCATATTTCTAAGCATATGAGGCAGGTTTCTGAGGTTTTTTCATCAGTAAAATATTACGTTTTACCACTTTCCCTGCTATAATTCCTGTCTTAGACTTCTTATTGACCCTTGGACAACTTGGGTTTGAACTTCATGGGTTCTTTACACACAGATTACCCAAAATGTGCCCGCCCCTCCCTTCCCTGCCACCTTCTCCTCTTCTGCCTCTGCAGCACCTGAGTCAGCAAGACCAGCCCATCCTCTACCCCCACAGCCTCCTCAGCGTGATAATGATGCGGATGAAGACCTTTGTGATGACTCTTTTCCACTTAATAGTTAATGTATTTCCTTTTCCTTATGATTTTTTAATAGCATTTTCTTCTCTCTAGCTTACTTTAGAGTAAGAATACACTATACAAGACATACAATATACCAAATATGTGTTACTATATTCAACACATATGTGTGAACCAAATATGTGTTAATTGTTTATACTATTGGTAAGGCTTCTGGTTAATGGGAGGCAATTAGCAGTTAAGTTTTGGGGGAGTCAAAGTTACATGTGGATTTTCGACTGCATGCAGGTAGGAGGAGTAGGTGGCATTGTTCAAAGGCCAACTGCATAGTGAAATCAAATAATAACAAATTGTTACCACATAGTAAAGATATATTAATGTTTCCCTCAAACTCTGTTTCAGATTTTTTTAAAAATGCATACTTCCGGTTTCAGTCCCTATCTGAAATCCTTCTGGATTTCAATATGCACCGATAACAGAAGATGAATACAAGTCATGCTTGACTTCTGCAACGACAAGAGGTTCTCACAGTGGTTCCCATCAACATCCAGACACTTCTGATGATGGCAAATGACTGCAGGACTTGTTGCTGGGCGAGGCCTCCCAGGTCTTCCCCTGTGCATATGACACACGGGACCATGCGGTTCAAACTCATCACAAATGCAGACAATCGTTAGGTGTATTGGAGGTTCTGTTGCATACTCATGCCTCCATTGTCACTGTACTTCCATAACATTTTCAAATTTCAAACATCACTTCAAAATGAAATGACAACCATGCTTCTGCCATTTTCTTTGACTGTCTTGCCTCTAGCGTAGTGATACCAGCATTCATTTGATGAACACCGTCTTTTAGGTGAATGTCATACTACACATTGCTACCATAATTCAAATCAACTTTGAAGTAATACATAGATAGCATAGCTCAAAATGTGTATACATTTTTGACACCCCCAATATGCACAGACAGATAGTCACACTGAATGAGATAAAGCCCCAAAATAGCCTCATTGCAGGTCAGGTTTTACAAGAAAAAGAACTTCTAAAGTTCTGGGTTCCAGCATATTGGAGATTTAGTGATAAAGAACTGTGCTCCCAAGTCACGTGAACCTCAGGAATTCCACAGGCCACAATGATGAACAACAGCAGAATTTAATGGCACTGAGCCACTGTCCTGAGAATTGATGCCAACCTGCCTAAGTTAAAGGAACCAAACCAAAGAGAAATCAGCAGGAGTGAGCAAACTAACAAACAAAAAAACAAACAAACCAAAATCCATTTCTGAGAAAGGCACTTCAAGAAAAAGTAGAATTAAAACCCAATATCAGGATCACCAACAGGTCACCATAACCAACTGCACAACTGTATGTGGCTGGCTGAGGGAAACCTGGTCCCCAGCTGCTTCTGGAACCCAAAAGTGATTCTAGCAAAAAGGACCCAGCAGAACTGGAAAAGCAGAACCCAACATGTCAGGAGCAAAAGAGTGGGGTGGGGGCAAGGAGCATCCCGGGGCCTCATCTGGAGGTGGAAGAACCGGTAGCCACACACACCTGTGCCCCGTGCCCCGTGCCCATTGACTGGCTGTCCCACCACTGGCTCCCACCAAAGGGACCTCACAGCCACTACTTATCACAAACATGCTGGAAAATTCAGCTCTCGGTCAACTTCAATGTCTTGGGTCCACCAAACCACTAACCACTTTTAAGTAACTTCCAGTTCATAGTGAAAAATAGTCACCAAGGCCATGGACACAGACACAGTTTCTATTTGTAAAAATGACTTTTATACAGAATACAGTGATTTATGGAACAGAACCATGTACACAACACACCAAAGGAATTTCATAAGACTCTAAAACTGGTGTAGGCATTTATATTCTTAACAGACTAATCTAGTAGGTTAATTATACTAAACCTATAATTAATAAACTTTTTGAATATTTTTATTTTGAAATGGGGTCTTGCTATGCTACCCAGGCTGATCTTGAACTCCTGGACTCAAGCAATCCTCCCACTTCAGCCTCCCAAGTAGCTGGAATTACAGGCGATTTTTATTCATAACCTAAACTTCATCTTTCTTATTTACTTGTTTGTTTTTATAGAGATGAAGTGTCACCATGTTGCCCAGACTGATCTTGAATTCCTGGGCTCAAGCAATCCTCCTACCTCGGTCTCCCAAAGTGCTGGGATGACAGGTGTGAGCCACCATTCCCAGGCCCTATTTCAAGCCCAAATTATAACAAATCATGGCCTTGACTTCAATAACGCAAAGCATGTTATTCCATGCATGTTATCCCCCTGGAAAGGGGGCAGTGTTATAACAAAGTTATCAACACGTAAAGCAGGTAAGTGAATGGTGACTGTCCCCTACCTCTGCACGACCCTCGTAGTAGGTGAGCATGGACTTGGTAAGTACAAAAAGTCGCTCTTTGTAGTTTAAGGGCGATGTCTTCTTTTTCTGCTGTGACCTTTTGATAAGAATCTCTTCTAGAATAGTGTTAAAACTCATCTCTGTCTTCTGGTCACTCCTTCTCCAGCCATTGAAGATCCCAGAATTCTAGAATGAGAACATACAATTAAAATACAACATTTCAGTTTTCCAAGGCTGCTGTCATTTCAAATGACCAGAATAGGCTCTTCCCTCACCACGGCTGGAGAGATGACCATTCCTCTCTGTGCCTGGACTGAGGATGCCTAGGGCACAAAACCTCAACCTCCTCTCCTTCCAGCCTCCATCCTGCACCTCCGTGGCCCGTCACTTCATAAAAAATTCCACCCAAGCCCCCCGCCCCCCCGCCGAGACCCCTGCCTCCAGCTTCCAGGCACGCTCCTACTGTTTGACCACAGGGAGTGCACGTCTCTGATGAACAAGTGCATTTCATTACATGTGTGGCTGGTTTGGGCTGGCGTTGGACTGCCCCAGGGGCTTGGTACACAAGCCTACGACCACACAGACATTGTAGACTTGTGGACACAGTGAATGACCATGGTGGTGAACTCAACTCACACTCCATCTCGGATAAGAGCATGATCTGGGTCAAGCCTCCTAGTCCCCACCACCGTAGGGATGCCCCCTGGTATCTACACTACCATGCTCTGCGGTTCCCTTCCCTAGGGCTCCTGTCTCAACCCAAGAGAAAAAGGAACCCACCAGGCCCTGATGAATCCTACACAAGGCAGAGTCCATCCAGAGAAGGTCTTCAGCCTTCTGGAGTCCACAACTCCAGACTAGCCCTACCTAGAGTGAGTCTCTTAGAATTCAACAAGATCTAGCTGAAAACCCAAAGCTATGCAGAAAATGCCTGAAGATTCTGTTGTTGTTGCTGCTACTGTTGTTGTTTTTGAGTCAGGGTCTCACCCTGTCACCCAGGCTGGAGTGCAGTGGCATGATCACAGCTCACTGCAGCTACAAACTCCTGGGCTCAGGCGATCCTTCTGCTTTAACTTTCCGAGCATCTGCAACTACAGGCGTGAACCATCACACCAGGCTAATTTTTGAATGCTTTTTTTTGTAGAGATGGGCTCTTGGTATGTAGCCCAGGCAGCTCTTAAGCTCCTGGGCTCAAGTGATCCTCCCACTTTGGCTTCCCAGAGTACTGGGATCACAGGCGTGATCCACCACCACTGCCTAGCCTCGGGCTAAAGATTCTTATCTGAGACAAGTTGAATTAACAAGAGTCATTCTTGTTCCTGACTCCACCAGTTTTAAGAAGTGATCTATCACAGAAGCAAAGAACTGAGTGCCACATGTTCTCACTCATAAGCAGACCCTGAACAATTACCATAATACTATGAGAAAGGGATTGGCAGTAGTGAAAAACTGCCAGGAGAGTGGGGAAGCATACCTCATCAACAAGGGTACCTGCAAAATGACCATTTGTAAACCTAACCCTGAATTGTACCCCACATCTTTTTTTTTTTTTGAGTTGGAGTCTCACTCTGTCACCCAGGCTGGAGTACAGTGGCACACACATGGCCACGCCAGCATCAACTTGCTGGGTTCTGGCGATTCTTCCGCCTCAGCCTTCCAAGTAGCTGGAACTACAGGTGCGTGCTACCATGCCTGGCTAACTTTTTAATTTATTGTGGAGACAAGGTGTGGGCAAGTTGTCCAGGCTGGTCTCGAACCCGTGGGCTCAGGCAATCCACTCATCTGGGCTTCCCAAAGTGCTGGGATTATAGGCTGAGCCACTGAGCCCAGCCTGCACCGCACATCTTTAAAATAAAATAAAATAAATTTTTTAAAAGTAATTGCACAAGCCGGGCTTGGTGGCTCAGCCTGTAATCCCATGCCTTTGGGAGGCTGAGGTGAGTGGATTACCTGAGCC